AAAAAAAAAAAAAAAAGAAGAAGCTATTAATCTGAAATTGAAGAAGCCTGCTCTGCACATACTAGGATAAATGAAAATAAGTTTACATGAACACATCCAACTGAAAAAGCAAAACTTCAAAAAAGATCTTAAAAGCCACCAGAGAGAAAAGACCTGCTGGCACTGACAGCACCCAGCCCCAAGGCAGCAATAGCTGGGCACAGCCCTGGAACGCTGGGCCCAGCCAGGGTCTTCCAACAGCAAAGAGGGAACAGAGCTCTTCCTAGCAGTCAAAGTGATCCAATGTGCTCACGTTGTTGCATTATCAGACAGAACCATGGGAGGATGGCCTGGGCCAGATAAATGAGACCCAAGAGAGGGTGTGGTGTGCAGCAGCACATGGAAACAGGCTCTGTAGCTCCCAGGGAAAGAGGAAAGAAACATCAAGCGGGAAACTTACCAACTGATTCATCTTTGCACACCTCAACTTTGGCCTTCACTTGCCCCAGTGCCCCAGGCGCAGCCTCAGTCCCCAGGGGGTCCTTCTCATCCGGAGGCCCCAAGTCAGTGCCCAGAGAGTCAGGCTCTTCGCCGGGGAACTCCAGCTCTGTGGATCGGCTTAGAGGCTTGACAGGGGACACCTCCCCACTGGGTGTGAGGTCACTGCTTTGTTCCCGTTCTTCATTGTCTTTCATTTTCTTGTAATGCAGACATGGGATGCTACTTAGAGGAGGGTCATGTTTCTGTGGATAGTGAAATCACAACGCATATTACAAGGACAACCCCAAGAGTCTAAAAGTCTGATGCTTCTCACTTCTCTCTGCTTGACTACAACGAGACCCATGCAGACATGCATGCTTTGGTCTGAGAACTTACGACATTAAATTCATTACTGATGCATCCCCTACCCGTATGCTTCCCGTTCCCAAGAAGTATGGCCTGGACCAGGTGACCACCCGAGACTCTCTGTGCAGGTACACGGGGACTCCGGAGTTATGGAATGTCATGATCCACCCGTCTGGCAATGGCTCTGTAGGTGGGCGACCACGACCTTTACAGAAGACAAGAAAATCCTAAAGTATCTTTAGAAACATTTCCTATTATCAGGATGTCTTAAAAAAGTATGACATACAACAGATAAAAACAGAAAATCCAACCAAGTATTGAAAAGACCCCCTAAGAATCACGGGAGCAGGCGCACACGCTGCGCTCTCCATCAGACAGAGTCTACTCCAGTCCCCTTGGGCTCTGCTTCTGCACACGTATCTGGGTCTTCCCCCATGAGACCTAATTTCCGCAGAAGCAAAACTCCACTGCCTCATCCTCGCTCTATTCTCCACTGCCTAAAACAGTGTGTGGTGTGGTAGAAGCGTATTTGCTAAATCAGCCCTCAATAGGGTTCTGCAAGGCACACTCCTTTAGCTCACTGCCTCTACATCATTAAAGAACCACTGGCCTCAGCACCCCCATTGGCACTGTGGGCACTAGATCTGCCTGCCCTGGCCCTGGCCAGAGGCTTCACAAGAGCAGGTAAGCTTTGCTGACAAACTGCACATCCACAACCTCTGCTCCCTCTTGACAAACCTTGACTTAAACTGAGCTATACACTCTCACCAGCCACATCTCTGTCTATTCTTCAATGTTTTTTTCACTCATTCTCAAT